GAGAGAGAGAGAGAGAGAGAGAGAGAGAGAGAGATCTGTAGATATAATTATTTAATATCTGAGAAGACTCTCCATTTGATGGGCTGTGAATATATGAATATTTTTTAATTCCATTTTTCTTCAATTCTTTTACATTATACCTTATACTTTACACTGGATGATGCTAATGATAATGACACAACTTATAAAGATAAATTTCCTCCTGTTTTTATTTTTATAAAGATGACATCATTCTCAACACCTCTCATCTCTCACTGCCTAGCATCAAGAGAACACTAGTCGACTTTGAAGACAACTATTTCTTGGTGAAAGAAAAGTTTTAGTAACTTATTAAGAGACCATTTGTATATGAAGCTGTTAGTGCATAAATGGTATAAACAGTCATTATTTAGAAATTCATTTATTTATTCAGAATTGTATTTATAATTTATTTGCAGCTTATAAAACTATTATTTTATTTCTTGCCCCAAAACTTTATTCTTAATATTTTTCCTCCAAATAATGCTGATACTTTTCTATTCTGAAAATATCTTTGAATTATACTGTATTAAGAATGCAGATCCTATTGTTTTGGGGTTGCAATATTAAGTGAGGTTATTGAATTTTTCCCTAAAGGATGATGATTTTTAGGTTATTTATCTTTTTTTTTTTGAAGTAAATTAACTCCTTGTATTCAGGTTAGTCAACTAAAGACTAAAAATATATATGGGAGAAAAGTAAAGTTATTTTACACTTAAAAAAGCCAGGCATGGTAGTGCATTTCTGTAATCCCGGTGGCTCSGGAAGCTGACAGGAGGATCTCAAGTTCAAAGCCAGTGTCAGAAAAAAGTGAAGCACTAAGCAGATCAATGAGATCCTGTCTCTAAATAATACAATATAGACAAAATAGGGCCGGGATGTGAATCAGTGTTCAAGTGCCCCTGAGTTCTATCCCTAGCACCCAAAACAAACAAACAAACAAAAAAACCAATCACTTGAAAATTGCCAGAAGAACAGATTTTAAGTGTCCTCACCAAAAACATAAATAAGCAAGAAGTATGTAAGGTAATACATATGTTAACTACCTCAATTTACCGATTTCACAATGAATTTATATTTCAAAATAACATGCTGTATTGGACAAATATATACAATTTTTGTCAGTTAAGACATGTAAAAAATGAATTTTGGATAATGTCTTATTTCTTAGACTGGGTTATGGATACATTGAAATAATCAAATTTTGGTTGCTCATGGAACTGAGTATCRTTTAATCACTCCTTTTTACTTGAATAAGTCATGTTCTATATGAGTTTTTTCTTTCTTTTTTCTCCACCCCCCATTCCCTGATTTTTTTTAAACAGTACTGGGGATTAGGGATTGACTCCAGAGCCTCACACTTGCAAGGCAAATTCTGTATCACTGAAACTACATCTTAACTCTATGAACTAACTATTTCTTTGAAGTTTTCTTCTACCAATCAAATTCCATTGCCAACTCAATCTTACTCAGTTGCCTACAGAGTCCAGGAATATAATGAAAATAAGTCAAAATTTTAATGTTAAACACACACACAGATATATATATATATATATATATATATATATATATATATATATATTAACAATTAGTTCAATTTTTCTTCACTAAAGGACAAACTAAATTGGTCTCTGATCAAAGAAGATTTCATAAAGATTTCCTTCCTGAATAGGGCCTCACTACTTCTGAGTCCAGTGAAAATAATTTTATTGTATTACTGATTAAACTAGAAATTGGGAAAACCTATATTCAAAATCAAGTCTGTTTTCCAATTGCAGGTTATTTTTACTACAATACATTTCTTGAAAATATTAACATTATTTTTAGGCCATGTTAATCCCAAAGTAAGCCCACAACCAGGGTACTGTTCCTAATTTTACTGATGATGCATCTAAGGCTCAAGGATAGCAGTAACTTCAAGTGGAAATTCAGAAAAGTGTGACCTGAGTTGTGCTTGAGTACAAATCCCTGCTCCAACAAATTACCGTTTTTATAATCTGGGGAAGGAAATGAAATACTTTATACTTCTGTTTTTCTTTATACTTCTGTTTTCTTTCCTTTAAAGTGGGTACATTAATGACACTAAATAACAAGATTATTGTGAGAACTTAGAAATGTGGAAGTACTACCTAAGTGTTGCTAATTTTACTCATTATTACTATTAGTAAAATAAAAACTGACAGCAACACTTGTTTTTGGTACTAAATGAACTAATCTATATAAAGTGCTTAGAATTCTACCTAAGAATTATTAATGTTAATTACATATGATCATGTGTCTAATTTAATTCTGTTTTAAGTCCATTATCCCTAAATCCTGCCAGTTAATTCTTTTAGTATGTGCCTAGTAGTAACAAACACTGATACTATTATAGGCTAGGAATACTTGCACTTGTGCCAAAAATATGTAGTTTTGCAGTTTCATCATTATTGCAATACTTACATTATTTGGAAATGTGTAGTGAAATCAATCATGCAGTGYAATGATTTTCTTGAGAATTTTAATAATGTAATAAGATTTTGTTCAAAGTGTCGAGAAGGTTATAACTTTCAAAAGCTATATTTCTTCTCTTTGAACTTATGTAGTTTTTCTCCACCTTTCCTTATATCCCTAAGTCTTAAAATATTATATGAATTCCAAGTAAATATCAAAATAAATGCCTCTAATTCAATAACTGATATTATAATCGTATATGCTAAAATATATAATTTAGGAATGACTTTTACTTACTTGTGTCCCATTTCATGAGCAATTGTAAATGCAAGATTCAGGCCATTGTCTTCAGCAATGATACACTTTCTCTTTTCACTGCACATTCCATTCAAGTAAGCTATACCTAAAAGAAATCAACATTCATTATCATATGTCTGATTTACATTGAAAACGCTCATACTAAGTATTGGTAGAGGGAATAAAAATGATGGTTGTTTCCACTTAAATATATCAATGTGAAATTATAAAATCAACCCTTTATAAACACAATATTAAGGAAAAATGTGTAAATCAATCAATAAACCCTAAATATTCTTTCAGTTTCATATTTTAAATGAATTATTTTACCTTTTACCCAATTCTCAAAATATATACTGTAACAATATATCTTATAAATATTACTTTTTTCTTGTTATGTAACATAAATGAACAGTAACAACATAGAAAATATAAATAAAAAGTAATCTCTATGGTTTGGTTATGAGGTATCCTGGGAAAACGTCTGTTAATGCAGGAATATTCAGAGGTAAAGTGATTGAATTATGAGAGCTATAACTTCATCAATCTATACTAGTTTGAATGACTGGGTGGTAACTGTAGGCAGGTGGGGTATGGCTGGAGGAGGAGAATCACTGGGTTTCTCCCAGGAAGAGTGCATCTTATGGGCTCCATCCTTTTTCCTCTCTCTCTTTCTATGCTTTYTGCCCCCCACTCCCCAATCATGAGATGACCAGCTTTACTCCACTGGGCCCTTCTGCCATGATATGCTGCCTCACCTTAGGCCCAGCGCAATGGAGTCTATGGACTGAGATACTGAGATGTCTGGATCTGTGAGCCAAAATAACCTTCTCTTCCTCTAAGTTGTTCTTGTCGAATAGATTGGTCACAGCAATGCTAAAGCTGACCAAAACAGTTATGATTATGCTAAGTATTTTTAAATTCTTATAAAGATTTTAATTTCAAAAAAATATAAAAATAAACTATATATAAGTCAGTCTTAAACTGACATTTACATTTTATATTAATGAAATTTTGAAATTGTATTTTAATATGTATAAGAAATAGCTTTGCTATTTGAATAATTAAAAGACTTCCTTTGAAATTATCTTATTTAAAAATATATTCTCTTGGTTGAATAATGATGAAGTATTACTTACGATAAAAATTTCAGCAAGATGTTAGTCCTTTTGGTTCACTTTATCAGAGAGGGAAGATAAAAAATTATCTTCTCCTAAAAGGACATTTACATTTTCTTGATGTTTGAAAATTAAAAAATAAAAATTTGAGATTAAATGTCCTTCCAAAATACTAAAAAAATTATAACTATAATTAGCATGSTTTTTACTACTGTTTGGTACAAAATTTCCTGCAGGAGTCCCASATATTTTGCCACCTTTTTCATCACAATTAAAATTGTCCTATCAACATGTTCATATTTAAAACTCAGTGTATATTTTCATCATGTCATTTGCCCCACAGATCAGTACATATCAAATATAGGTGCTTTAATAAGTTTTAAGTTTTACATTTCTTCTCTTGCGTATAATTATTATTGATATCAGAGATTGAACTCAGGGGCACTTCAACACTGAGCCACATCCCCAGCCCTTTTTATTTTTTATTTTGAGACAGGGTCTTGCTAACTTGCTTAGTTCCTTGCAAAATTGTTGAGGCTGGTTAAAACTTGCCATCCTCCTGCCTCAGTTTCCTGAGCTGCTGGGACTACAAGCATATGCGACTACTCTGGGCTCCTATATATCTTAAAATATCATTTWACCCCACATAAAAATAGTATTACTACTTATTTACAATTCATATATTCTCCATATATTTCTATTCTTACCACATTGACTAGGATTTCCAATATAATATTTAAATATATAGAGAGCACTGAGCTTATTTTTCCCTTCTGACATTCATCAGAATGATTACAGTTTCACAGTTGCTTATGATACTTGCTGTAGAACTTTCATTAGATATGTTTTAACTTAAGAAAATTTACTTCCTGATGTTCTTGCAGGTCTAGGTGAAAAAGGAGGAAACACCTTTTTCACCAAGATGGATGGGAGTCACATAGTATTTTCTGGAAAAGAACCAAAAGGTGTAGATAGACACTGAGAGATAATCCAAGAGAGCTGATTAAGCTCTTTGGGAAGACTTTATTTAAATGAGTCAGAAAAAAAAAATGTTTCTTCAGCTAAGGATAGAAAGCACCTGTCTGGAATATCACTAGTAGGCCTAGTGGCTAAAACAGAAAAGGATATTAATGAAATTCAGTATGGGTTGATGTTTTATAGATCAGGTGTGAAGGAAGAACCAAACGCCATGAGTTGACAGTAAATTTGAGAGTGAAGAAGGGACAGAACATGTCCCTGTAGGAGATAAGTAAAGAGGTATGGCAGAGGATGCCTGATAATTTCGAGAACAAAATGCAGTAATAGAATAAAATCATCAATGAAGAAAAAGAGCAAACATATTACAAAAAAAATATGGATGATTGTGGTCAGAGAGCAGAATTTAGGGATTTGGATTTCAGAGAAGTTCATAGGTATCATAGGAGACATGCCTAGGTATCATAATGAGAGGATAAAAAGGTGCAGGTAGTGATCATCTAGAGTGATGCCAAARAATTAGTGAGTATTGGGTGGAATGAATAAGTGAACAAGAAATTGATATGATCAAAATAAACTCAGGAAAGTGGGAAAGGTGGCCACTGTCTATAGAAAATATGGGAAAACATCAAAATCAATCAATTTTACAGCTATAAAATTGGTAAGGTCAAGTGCTTCAGCTTTAAAGAGTTCATATGCAAGGGTGGGAGAGAATTTGAAGCAGAGAGAAAGAGAAAAGTGACAAGTACACCACGATTGTTATCTTCCTTGCATCCGTGTTGTAATATACAGGAAGAGAAAGAATGAACAATGACCCTCTAGGGACCCTAGCTTATAGAAACCTATAACCACCAGTTTATAAGAAACCAATGACTATGGTAAAAACAAAAAAGGGTGGTAAATATTCTGGTGTACAATATCAAGGCATATTTTGTACTAGGTAGAGGGAAGTGAAGGGAGGGGAGGGGAGGGGAATGTGTAGATAGTAAGGATAGTAGAATGCAACAGACATTATTGCTTCATGTATATATATATAATTGCCGACCAATGTGATCTTACAACATGTATACTCAGAAAAATGAGGAATTATGATTGATCAAAGTGCATAAGTGTAATCTCCTGTCAYGTATAACTAATTAAAACAAATTGAAATTTTAAAAAATAAATGTATACATAATAATATAAAATATTCAAAAAGTGATGATTATGATAATTACATATTTGCATTGATGGATGGCTACAACTATGTATTTAAAAACCTTACTGCCACATATGTGTAGGATAACAAATCAACTAAGTATATGTCAATGTGCTAATAGAAATTACATCATATGGTAAGATTATGGATAGAGTTCTTTTTCTTTTGCCATTTTTTAAATTCACGTAAGTGTTTATAATAAAAATTAAAGATGCACAAACATAATCTTGTCTATGAGATTTGATTAATAAATAGAGGTTCTACTAATTACAAATCAGGAAATGGTCTAAATACCAAAAGTGACCTTCTCCTGTTATTCTTTTAATTAAGTGTAAAACTTGGAATCCTCAATAAGATTGATAAATTCGAATTTCATTATTCTTACATTTGGTAGATCAAGGAGTTTTTCTTTGCCTTGAAATTTATGGAGAAAATTGTAACCATAACAAATTCAAATGACTTGCATTATCCTGTTTAAAAGCCCATGCTTTTAAAGTCCTTTCAAGAACCCACATGTTTCTTATTATAATAAGGGAYAGGGGTTAGAAGGGGATAGGATTTAACACAGCTGTTATTAAAGATAGATGTAATACAGACCCATTTCAAAGAGCTCCTAATATAAAGAATTCTTKAAATGTAAAGCAAACAAAAACAATTTTCTAATTTCTCTTCTAAATTGAATCAAGTCATGTACCAGAAGTCAAAAGAATCTCTCATCCCAAAACAAATAATACTATCCCAGGACATGGCATGATACACACCATCAAGAAGGTCAGGCTCCTGAAACCCTACAGGATGTATTTTGCAATATTGAACCAATGGGGAAATCAGAGTTCAAATCTGATTAAATGTACATAATCTATACAGAAATACTCAGGATCTCCAGCCATCAGGGAAATGGAAATCAAAACTCCACACATTTATTCTCATCACAGTCCGAATGGCCATTATAAAAAATAATAATAATAACAAATACTGGAGAGGTTATGGAGGGAAAAGAACTATTACACACCACTGATGTGAATTCAAATTTGTACATCCACTATGCAAAACAGCATGGAGGATCCTCAATAAATTAAAAATGAACTGACCTGTGCTCCACCACCACTCCTGGGCACATAACAGAAGGAATAAAATCAGTATACAAGAAGAAAACCTCCATATCCTCACATTAGCCTAGATATGGAATCAGCCTAGGTGTTCATCAACAGACAATTGGATAAAGAAAATATGGCATATATATATATATGTGTGTGTGTGTGTGTGTGTGTGTGTGTGTGTGTGTGTGTATACACACACTATTATTAGCCATAAAGAAAAATGAAACCCTATCATTTGCATGAAAATGAATTGGATGGGAGACATAATGTTAAGCAAAATAATAAGCCAGACACAGAAAGACAAGTATCACATGTTTTCTCTCATGTGGGAACTAAAAAAAAATCAATTAAATGATCTGGAAGTGGAAGAGGGACTATTATGGATTGGGAGAGAAAAGGAGGAGTGAGGGAGAGAGAGGGGAAAGGTAGGAGAGGGTAAGAAAAATATGCATGTATACAAATGCCACAGGAAGGCCATTAACTTATACAGTTAATATGTATTAATAATTACAATAAACAGAAATTAAAAGTAAGTCTTCTGGCTTACTTAACTTTTTTTAAATCTGTTTTTTTTTTTTTGTTGTAGATGGAGGGAATACCTTTATTTTATTTATTTTTATGTGGTGCTAAGGATCGAACCCAGTGCCTCACACATGCCAGGATAGTGCTCTGCCACTGAGCTAYAGCCCCAGCCCCTAACTCTTGTTTTTAACTA